CTCTCTCTCTCACACACACACACACACACACACACACACACACACACACACACACACACACACACACACACACACACACGCGCGCGCGCGCGAGTATACACACATCACGGCTGCTTCCTTTTTTTTTCCCCGCTCATCAGCAATCAGCACACCGCACACCGCACGGATGCGCCACAAGTATGGTCTAGAGGTTACGACTTCATAAAAGTGCCAAACCCTAAACCCTAGAGCACAAAAGAAATTCTAAACTAAAATACCAATGGAAGGCTATTATGGGAGCATGTTTAACAGTTATAATCCCTAAAAGGCTAAAAGCCCTTTTAAAAAAAAAAAAATTCAAAAACAAAAAAACTTACTAAAAAGACACCAATGATAGGCTTTTGTGGCCAAAAGTTTAGTAAATTTTGGAACGATTTCCCGGGAATGCCTAAAGCCTAAAGCAAAAGACAAAGGTTAAAAAAAAAAAAAAAAAAAAAAAAAAAAAAAAAAAAAAAAAAAAAAAAAAAAAACAGAACACCAATGGGAGGCAAAGATTTTGTTACCACTTCATAGAGAGTTTCAAATGGGACCCCGGTAGGCAGAATATATCTGTGTGGAGTTGATGTTCCCAATGCATCTCCTGTGCACACGAAAGAAAATCAAAAGTACTGCAAACATTATGCAAAAGAACTTCCGATTACATGTTTTAAACGAGTATTATATCTGCATCATCTGCGTAAACTTACATGAAGTTGCGCATCACATGTCTGACACACATTACAAATTTGACACAAAATTTGACGCACATCACATTCTCGACACACAATTTTAAATTTGACACAAAATTTCACTGAATACATTCCACATTAATATCAAATTATATGTAATGAACCCAGCAATCATCAGAAACTTCCTCAAGAGTCTCAATGCACTCAATATGGAACCATTCCCAATCTAGAACAAGTCATGTAGGACTCAAAGAAGTCCCAGACACAGCAGCGAGTAACCAGAAATTAGACCGGAAGGAAAATCCGTACTTGCTGAAAATAGAAATTTCTGCAATGGTTGTTTTGTTTTCTTTACTGTTTTGAAGGTGGTAACTTTCGGACCTGGGACCTGTTTTGAAGGTGGTAACTTTTGGACCAGGGACCTGTTTTGAAGGTGGTAACTTTTGGACCTGGGACCTGTTTTGAAGGCGGTAACTTTTGGACCTGGGACCTGTTTTGCAGGTGGTAACTTTTGGACCTGGGACCTGTTTTGAAGGTGGTAACTTTTGGACCTGGGACCTGTTTNGGTGGTAACTTTTGGACCTGGGACCTGTTTTGCAGGTGGTAACTTTTGGACCTGGGACCTGTTTTGAAGGTGGTAACTTTTGGACCTGGGACCTGCGTGTACAGTCTCTGTTTGCCTAGCACAATGGTAGGACCTTTGGCTTGTAGTTATACTGTCATACACTTTTCTTTTGCTAGGCAGCCAACGTAGACCCAGGCAAGTAGCAGCCCCTCAAAAGTGCCGAGTTGAGGCGAGACAGTTGAAAAGCCTCATTCGGAATTCATTGGCAATATTTTTGCTGCCTGATGAAAAAAAAAAAAAAAAAAAAAAAAAAACCTGCAATGGAACCCGAAATCAGGACGACATCTTGTCTACACAACTCTACAGCAAGACACTGGAAGATCACGAAAAACGACGACGAACAGTCCTATGGAAACTTAGAGGAAAAAAACTTTAAGATTAACATCATTAAACCTAGGAAGTCAGAATTTGCTAAAGTCTGAACTTTGAAGTACTATACTTGGGACAAATAGGACACGAAGAAGGATTACAGCCAGAAGAACAAAAGACATTTCTGATCAGCGACTGACCCAGGCCAAGGACTATCACTGAGCTGAGGTCTTTCTGAGCACTGGCAAGCTATTGTAGGAAGTTTGTTGGGAAGTTCTCCATGATAGCAGCACCTATGAGAAGACTCTTAAAGAAAGAGGCCATCTGGTTATGAGACAAAGTTCCATTATAGATGCACCTATGAGAAAGACTCTCAAAGGAAGAGACCGTGTGGTTATGAGACAAAGACTGTGAGCCATCGTTCGAGAAGCTAAAGAATGGTCTCTCTACCCTGTCCTGAAGATTGCAAACCCATCCCTACGGACCCTACCATTTATCGCCGCAACTGATGCTACCGTCTTCATCCGAATAGAACGCCCGGTCATTACAGCTGTATTTGGAGCAATTTTCAGTCCACATGCAGTGATTTCTATTCGGGTGAAGACGGTAGTCAGTATGGAATTGAGGAAGTCTTGCAACAAGATGATTGGACGGGCTATGGGCTTGTTGAGGTTATGTCTAGATGCCTCCCAACTGAAAAAGTGGCCGACTCTACATATGATAGAGAAGCCTTTGTAGTCCTAGAGGCTCTTTCCACACGGAAGCGCTACCTGTTAGGCAGACACACCTCGCGGCTCAATGAAGAGGTCACCAATCGGTTACCAAATTGTAAGCAACACCTGCTGGATTCCAGATATCAACAATAATCTTCTCCTGCTACAACCTGAAATAATAGCAAGCAGCACTGCACCAACCTTCTGCACACTCACGCGGGTGCACCCCCAAGCACCGGCAGTACAGGTAATCTCGCCAGTACCACCAGCTTGGTCACTGTTGCATACCGTATAGGTGCAGACCAGAACAAGAACCGATCTTTCAATACAAAGTATAAGATAGCACAGCGGAAGACTTAGATACCAGTGATCCGAACAATCAATGTTGTAATGCAGCCCTGAACATACATCATC